AGGGACACCAAATTTTCGCTCATTTCGCATTGAAAGGCACATTTTCTTGGGTGGGTATGACATAAATAAAATACAACACGGTGTATTCCGCATCACCCTCGGTCCCAGCCCTCCCGCGGATCGGATCGCCCTCCGGCCTTCGGCCGTCGGGCGATCCGACGCGCGGTCGGGCTGGCACCTCGGGCGATACGGAATACACCGTGTTGTATTCTATATATATATATCCTCTCTTATACGGAGAGGGAGAGAGCTTTGGAAACATATCTGCAAATGTTTGACGCACGGAAGAGTCCATTATGCTGTATTTACTTGCGAACGTTGCCGTTCTAGTGTCCAAGTTGTTGCCACTAATGCCTTCACCCTCACCATTGTAGGAGTCTTAATGTCATCCACGAAGTAAACAAATGGCGGGAAATCAGAGATGGCGCTACGGTTATGTCGCTCACCTAGTTACGTGCTCAACTAGTTACTTGTTCATCTTGTTGTTATTCAGAAAATTTGTAAACGTAGATTGATACATTGAATATAATCAGTGACGGGCAATGATATACTTGAATGTGCAGGAACAACACAAGCCAGTACCACTGTAGGTACCACTGAAGTTGTAGCAACTACACCGACTGTGCAATGTGACAACCCTACTGTACTGAATGGGAACTCTGGCAGCTTTACTTCACCGGGTTACCCAGGAAACTACCCTAACAACGCTTACTGTACTTGGCAGATATCTGTCAGTACAAGTGACGTTGTTACCATCCGGTAGGTGTTCGCTTTTATTAGGTTTCATACACCCTTTTGGTCAGAAACTACGTATTAACACTAAACACAGTAACTTGGAGTTTTGTGCATTTCCCATAAGTCATTTGACGGTGCGCAGCAACTGTGAAATTAACATATAATAATCATGTAGCTAGAAAGGTAACATCTTTAATTTAAAAGCAAAGACATGATGGTTATCTTGAAAGTTCATCTGTGTTGGTAGAAGTCATTATGAAACAAGATTGAACTGCAATTGCCAACACACAAAAAATGGACTCACCCAAATTTTCGACTGTACAACTCCATTTGACAAAGACTGGAGTAGTAGTATTGTCGAAAAATTGGATGAGACCAATTTTTGTGTTGGCAATTGCAGTTCAATCTTGTTTCACGTGATGGTTATCTTCACATGGTCTAGCCTAACAAACTACTGCTCTATTTATACGTATAAAAAAGAGCAAATACAATATGTTTCCTACTCCGAAGATAAGCATAACTAGAAAGGCCAATATTTGCTTTGGAGCAAATACAGCGATGGGTTCACCACATTTTACGACATGGCAGGGAAAGAATGAGAAACACAAGGGAAAACAATGATTTACATTGATATAACTATAATATGAACTAACATACGACTAAAACAACAGTTGGATAGCTATTCCCTACTTTATTGGTTAGGATTTTTAATTGCATAATGCAAACTGTTGATTTTCAAAATAAAAATAACGTTCATGCCCCGCATTCCAATGCTGGAGCAGGAAAGCTTGAAATACCTACCAAAACACTTGAATACAGACATACTGTCAGTAGTGGAAATGCACTGTGCAGTTGTTAATCAAGTTAAATCCCAACAGCCAATCAGCAAGAAGAATAGAGGAAAGCTGCATGCCTATTGGTTGATGCCCTGCATTCCATTGTGATGACTCATACCCAAACGTGGTAAACATGGCACACTAACACAGTAATACATTAGCTATAACACAGCCAAAAAACTCAAATAAAACCATTCTAAAAGCCCGTATCACAAAAATTTAAAAAACGCCTAGGGGTATTTGCCCACTGTACCTCCATACCAAATTTCAGGACCTTGGGCCCTAAAATGAAGAAGCTGAATCCATTTAAAAAATGGCAGGAGGAGAAGGAGGAGGAGGAGAAGAAGAAGAAGAAACACCAGAAAAAGCAATATGGTTTCACCACACCACTTCGTGGTGTGGTGAACCCATAATAATGCTATCTACGTTACAGGCATCTTAGCGCATGTGAAATAATGAGATATGACATGAAACACTTGCAGATTTACCGAGTTCAGTCTGGAGTATAACAGAAACTGTGGCTTTGACTCCCTCGTTGTGCATGATGGTCCAGACGCTACTGCTCCTGTGCTTGTCACCCTTTGTGGTTCCTCAGCTAGAACAGTCACCACCACTGGGAACAGCGCCTTTCTAGTCTTTACTAGTGATGGTTCAGTGACGAGGTCTGGGTTCGTTGCTAACTTCACGTCTGAGCTACGTAAGTGAAAAGTGCCCCACCATCCTGTTGTTAAAAAAAAGACAAAAGCAAAATCAGCTTCTTATAACCCTACCCTACGTTGTTACCACACTGTTGTTGCATGATCACACACTGTTTAAATACACTATAGTGTTCCCAATCTGCAAAATTCAAAACCTCACTTGTCGTCTATGATATGGACACTTGATAGGCTTTCAAATTGTTCGTGTGTTGCCTAGACGTATTTCTAACGCTACGTCAATGGGAAAATGTTAACTTGTCATTTGCAAATTGTTTGACTTAGATTACAGATTGATTGCTTGATTGATATCTTGCAGACTGTTCAATGACAATGCTCAAAACAACGGACACCACCTACGAATACCGATGGGACTTGCCCCAGCGTACGGGAACGCGCTTCACTTTTCAAGTATCGGCCAACAGCGATGCCCACATCGGTCTGTCACCAGCCAACCAGGACGCTACGGACATGTACGAAATCGTCCTCGGTGGATGGGGGAACACAAAGTCGGCCATACGCCGGGGAAAGCTAGGCTCCGACGTCACAAATGTCGACACACCAGGTCAGCGTTAGAATCTGTTTGTTTTGGAATCTGAAATTGTCCTTCAATTGCTGGTTGTTATAGATAGTTGAGTGTTGTGCATGCTCAAGAACAAGTTCCATGTTTTATCTTTGTGTCAATATCCCTCACTGCATATTTTGAAATGAAAATTAAAAGTTATGATTGACGTCAACCTTCCCTACAGCTATCAACTCGCCAACAGAGTACAGGACCTTTTGGATAAACTTGGCCTCAGACGGAACCATTTCTGTCGGAAAGGGGGGTGAGTCTCTGCCGTTCATGTCGTGGACGGATCCCAACCCAATCCGCGTGTCTTATGCTGGGTACTCAACAGGCTGGGGCAGCGACGGGCGCTGGAAGTTCTGCTCGGAAACAGGTCAGTGGTTGGCTGGAATTTTATATAATCTAAAGCTCCAATATATTTGTATCAAGTCTCTTAGACTACTTTAAAACAATCATTCTGACTCTTTCAAACGTCAAATGGAGGTGGTAGGGGGGAGAGGAGAGAGTAAGTAAGACAGATGAAGTCAGACACACAAACAAACGTTAAAATTGTAATTTCTTCCAGGTACGTCGACAAAGAGGATGTCTGAAGTGCGGGAAACCGACGGAAAGGACAATGGAGAACATAAGGTTAGTGTTTCCAGCAGTATTAGATTGTAAAAATGAAGAAAATTGCTACATGAATAGCATGGCAGTTTATTAGGACGTATGTTGGAGGCCAACCAACACTAGTCATTTTATTTCTATCATTTAGTTGTTATGAACATTTTGATGAAGTCTTCTGTAGCTCCCCTCTATCTTTACCTTTACCTTGTCCCATCCTCATGTCTGAGGGTCGGGGACTGTGATGGTATCCAGTATCAGCCTCCTCCACTCTCTCCAGTCTCTGGGCCTGTGAGAGGACTCTGCCAGTGGCATGCCCATCCATGCAGTCACGGACATCATTAACCCACTTTACCGCCTTCGTGGTTTCACTCTCCTTGAAATTTGAGTCATTTTTATTGACTTTGATTTGATTTCACACCTGTGTTACAAGGTGGAGGTTGTGGAGAACGGAAAGCAGCAACCCATCAAGGGCCAAGACGGGATGAGGACCGGTCGGGACCCGGAGGAAACATTGGAAACTGGTGAATCAACTTTTACTATAATTCTTAAAACTAGTTCAAACAGCATCCTCACCTATCTCTTGACCTCGTTGGGGGTCGTTGAGGCACCATGACTTGATCCACTATCCTCGATCCTCCATTTAACTCTGTCCTGTCCTCCGCCGCTCTCATGGCTTCAGCTAAGCTTCAATCCAGTCCACTCTTTTATGCTGTCTTCCTACCTCTTTCTCTGCGAACCCCCCTTTTCGACTTCACTGTCCCTAGTAGTACAGATTTGCAAGCCCTGACGATCTTGCCACATGACCAAACCATCTCAGCCTTTCAGCGTTTCTTTACAGTGGTCAGTAGGTTGCCAGGTGATCCAGTAGCTTGCACTACCTTATTGTAGGCTTCCTCATAAGTGAAATGCAATTTTCCAGTATCAACTATCATTGTTTTAAACACGAATAATGGTATTTCCAGAGGAAACGAGGTTAGAATAGCATTAGCTCATAGTTTATATTTGATATTTGAAAGTTTGACTTCCTCGTAGGTATTTACAAGGTTGTTGAAAGTAAAAGTATATCGTTTTGTTTTTCAGTACGTGAGCTCCTGGACAAAACCATTGAGGATTGGATGGAGGATTACCAGGAATAACTGGTACGTAAGGGTCGGTAGAAGTATGGTTGAACATTTGCTTCACTTTCAAGCCTTGTCTATTGATGATGCACATTATTGCAATAATGAATTTTGTGATAATGATAGGTGTGGAAGTGACCAATATCCATAACAATGCATGTGTGCATGTGGTGTTCAATATTGTTGTTTTATTTAGCTTAACTCTCATTGAACCAGTTTGTATCACACCTATACCAGTAGATTGCGGTACTATGCCAAAAGCTGCGCACAGGAGTTGAAGCAACATTTACTAGACTAGCTCTGTTAGAATTCTATGTTAGTATAGTACATGTATCTACTCCAGTTGTTTCCTTTTTGCTATACATTGTACCAGTAACAGTTGTTGATTGATTTAATTTCACACATCTCGTTTGTTAGATGCGCCATCTTACTATTGCTGTTTTACCCCATTCTGTAGGCTGGAATTGTGAAGATCTGCCAGGAAACTGATGGACCCGTCGATGGAAAACCATCTCGGCTTGCCTATTAGCTCAGGCAACTTTCTAGGCTTTACCTCTTCTACAGAATATTAGACTCTAGCTATTTGCCTCATGTATTTCCCTCGGGAGACAATTGTCAACTGCATTATTTTCTGATATTCTAAACTTTAAGGTAACAAAAGCTAGACCATTTTGCTTTTAGCTGTTCAAAATTTACAAGAGTTGTATACTTGCTGGTTTTAGAACGTAGAATAGTTTTGTAGGATATATCTTAACCAAGAACCATTTAACTGTTACGTCGTTTTTGACAATTTACTACTAGAAATACCCAAGACCTTCTAGGAATGGAAGTATCAATTTCACTTGTTTAGCCTTATCTAGTTTTGAAGGACTTGAAGCATACAGAAGTAGTGAAATGAAACAAGTAAAGATTGTCACACAAACAGTCATTTGATGGGAAACTTTACTTTTCTGACAGCATTATCTGTTTACACATTGTACTGTGGGAGCAAGTTACTCCAAGGCAACACTGTCATTCGCTAATAATACACTATTATAGCCTTTGCAACCTGCATCAAATTCTTAGGAACATATAGACATGTAGAACTGGCATTTCCCCACTAAAATAATCAGGAATGATCTGCACTGGACGTAAGCTGGTGTGACGAAACTACAGAACTGGGTAGAATTCCAACAATAGATACTGTAGTTAACACATACTTCAATATATACAAGTATACAGTTGTGCCAGTTTACTGTTTATCTGTATCATCACAACACCAAGAGAAATGTAGTCGCTTCTGTTGATATCAAATCTTTTTTCTGTTCAACAGTTATTATTCTTTATCTTCGAAAAGATTTCTAGGTGCCCCCGGCACATTCAACAATGAGAAACAGATTTCAAAGACATACAAATCAAGCACATGCAATAAAAGAAAATCACCATATGCATAAACCATGTGTACTATGAATATAGATATACTCTATATAGATGAACAACAACATGAGCCACACTTTTATTACTATCTATGGATCTGATATTCCTTCTTACTTTTCTGGAGTTCAAGGGATTGAACTGTGATACTTGGAATATCTCTAATACGACGTTGACAGAAATGATACTATTACATACATTTATATCAATACAATAATCCATATTCTGTCCAGCAGTACTACAATTTCATTCTCAAATGATATTAACGTTTTGGAGTCAGCCTACTTTAATAACCATGGCCATCTGGCCAGCCACGACCCTTAGGCCACGAACGTAGTCTCCAACTGACTCCTTTGCCACAGTGCCTAAGCATAGTTGTAGATAAAGCAAAATTCTGGTTTCCTTGGTTGTGTACAGAGGTGTACTATAAAATCTTAAACTTCCTTAATACAATAAACCGATGTTGAATTGTTCCGTGACCACCTCTAAGACGGTCAGACTTTCCCGTTGCGGGTGATGAAGTTGTACGGCGCCCGGAGCGTGTTCTCACCGCGGCAGCTGGACTTGCCCGCGCCCGGGGACGACGCCGGGTCGCTTAGGGTTACAATTAGGCTCAAGCTTAGGGTTAGGTTTAGGTAAGGGTAAGGAAGGCGTTAGGGTTAGCGTTAGGGGTTAGGGTCAGGCTCAGGGTTAGAGTTAGGTTAGGGTTAGTGTTAGGGTCAGGTTCCGGGTTAGGATACAACAAACCCCAATCTCCAAGCAGATACTGTGAGACAAGCGGAGTTTAAATTGTCCGCTTGTATCAAATATTTACCGAAGGTCTAGGACGGCCAGACCTTCCCGTTGCGCGTGATGAAGTTATTGTACGGCGCCCGGAGCGTGTTCTCACCACGGCAGCTGGACTTGCCCGGGGACGACATCGGGTCACTGTCGCTGTAGAACAGCGGCTCGAAGTGATCGTGCAGGTTCGGGACGGAGTGGCGCTGCTTGTCCAGGCTGTACTCCTTAGCGAGGAACCTGTCAAGAAAAAAAAAAAACGTCGTCAAAAATTATAAGAAGAAGTTTATTGCAAATTCGTGCCCGGGGGGCTAATTGCAAATTACAAACATAAAATTATAAAGGTTGGTTCCAAAATAAGACTGCGCGTGGGCAATCTCCAAGCAGATCCCTTGGCAAAAAGTCAGTATCAAATTGGCCAGGCAGTCTCCATTAGCCAGAGAAGGTCGCCGGCCACCGTGGGGGTCAGGAAAGAAAAACGGCCATATATAAAGCTACTGATAATTCCCCACAACCTCTGTTTGGAGAGTAGCGTGAGTAGTGTGTCAAAGATGCCTCAACATGTATAAAGCATGCTCTCACGTCTTTTGTGTATTTGTCGGGATACTGGGCATGGGCACGTGTGTTTGTGCACCCCCTATATGCCCAACTAGAACTCTTGTACACCCCTATATGCCCATCTAGTTAACGTTTTGACAATTGTGTATGTGAAACCATATTGTGTCGTCTTTTCGCCACTTTTTCGTCGACCTAACCTCCTTTAAACATCATTTCACTGTATTGCTTACAAAAGGCTTAGTTCATTTTCTCAATATATTTTCATTGTGTGTTGTCTGATTGTTATTTTTTGATTTTATTTTGTTTGTTTGTTGAACTCTTGTATACCCCTATATGCCCATCTAGTGTACGTTATTTCTACTTATTTGTATTGCTTGCAAAAGGCTTAGTTCATTTTCTCAATATCTTCCAATTGTTTGTGTTGTCTGGTTGTTTTATTTTGTTTGTTTGTTTATGAAGAGTTGTTTTGTTGTTCCCACCTTGTTGACCGCTGGTGTGAGCAGACCAGACTTGTCTCCACGTCCATCTCTCGGTGGTTCTTGTGTCCGATCAGCCAGTACGTCTTCATCTTTCCCTTTCCCTGGGAACCGTCAAAACAATTATCATTACCGAATGAATGAAGGCATCTGTGAAGTATAATTCTTAGCTGGACGTCTACTGGTTATCCTGTCCTGTGACTGACATAATTTTATAAAGGTACTAGTAGTCTCCATTTCACTGGGCTCGTTCCCATTTAGAAAAACTACACATCAATATGGCATTTACCAAAGCAAACCTTAAGAATAATTATTATTAAGACATTTATTGTGTAAAAAATGCTTGCCCGAAGAATATTTGTAGGAAAAACAATGAAGAAGAATTCGAATACTTTAATTTCAATACTAAATCTTAACTGGAGAGGTTTGACTTCTTTTCCTGAAACAAAAGAAGGCAAGAAAACATTTCTGTTCTGTACCATGGAATGGTTGATCAAAATTTGTGATGTTGGTAACTTTAATTCTACAGTAAACAGTGCAGAAACCATTTTTAATTATTACCTTGATGTCGACGTCTCCTCTTGCCTGCAGCATGAAACAGTCCTTCTTCCTCAGTGCCGTGTGGGTTTCGTTACTCACTTGGATTTTCTGTGCTGTAAAAAAATCTCAGTCAAAATCTTCAATTTATCTACCGACAAGAAGACGTTAATAACTCAAAGAAAACGTTAATAACTCAAACAATGAAACGAACTTCCTGTATAAGAGTCTTTTCTCAACTAATTTTGGAAACGGACCCAGGTAACTGTACCTGAGCCAACACTTGTTGAAGTTCTTAATTGACAAAATCTAACAAGACAATACACGTTTAATGAATGAAATACCTTTATTGTACTAACAAGCTAAGTACAGGTCATGAATAGACAAGGATACAGCAATGACACACTTAAACTATACTAATGTGATCTACTATTTACATGTTCAACTTTAATAAGAATATAATAATATAGTGCGGATTGAATTGGGTTGAAGGTAGAGACTAGAGTGCAAACCTGGGAGAGGGGAAATATGGCCACGCCATCACATTCGGTGCACATTGGAGTATACGTCACCTGTGGAAGTACTATAATGGATGCAGAACAGACATGTTCACAAACATACACACATGTACAAATAGACAACCAACAGCCAAGGCAACACGGTTGCAGGGAAAACAGAAGTCGACAGGTGTCGCTTTTGAACCGTTTACGTACGTAGACTGGACGACTCCATTCGCGAGGCTGTGTTGACGGTGTCGCCGAACAGACAGTACCGCGGCATTTTCACCCCCACCACAGCTGCAACCGCAGGGCCTGGAAATGTGGATGAAAAAAAAAATTAAAAAGGAATTTCACTTTCCGCCACATGATGCATAAATTATCTACCTTATCACCTTCTACATTATAACCATTTTTGTTATCTTTATTTCTTTATTCGAGGCATCACTAATGAAAACATACGGATAAGAAAAGACAATAACAATAGTCTATTGCTTAATGAGGTTTTATGCTTTATTGTTTCGAAAATTCTTTCGTAAAATATGTGTGCGGATCTTAGTGACAAATGTGCAGATCTTGGCACATTGGTGATGCCAGATCTGTCTGTGTCCACCGTGCTGTGCCCGCATCAGTGTTTGGACACACGTATAACCGAATGGTCTGGTGGGCGTCACATGGAAGTTGTGTAACGTGCCTTTCCCAAGGCCACAACATCGGGCTTTCTTTCGTAACATATAGGGAACAACTCTTTCGTAACAAGTAGCAAACATTTCTTTCGTAACTTGAATGCAATGAAAAACATGCCTCTGTCAGCTATCCAGTACAAACACTAGAAACGTCCGGACAATTCTCAAAACGGTTTGTGAGGAAATGACATAAATAAATGCTAATCACATCACACGTATATTTAATTGTATATATATCTCCCATTTAAACGAATCGCTTCAGCTAGTATCGCCTTAAGAAAACCATTCTTTCACAACATAGATGAAAAACATGCCTCTGCTAGTTATCCTACACGAAGCGGACAATTCTTAAAATGGTTTGGCAGGAACTGACATAAATGCTAATCACATCACACGTACATTCAGTAGTATATTTTTCCCATTTATTAGCGAATCGCGTCAGTACTAGTATCGCCTTAAGGTGCGGACGTCAAGAGAACGTTTCAAAGCGTCTAATGATGTGTTTGATCACGTCACACCCTGTGGCTGCCGGGCGCGGTTCGCTGTTGTGAACGTCACACCTTAGTCTCTACCAGACTCCTTTGCAGGCTGAATAAATAGTAGAAATCGGCAAAGGGGGAAATCATTGGCCAGAGGAGTTGGCCGGCCATAGAGGGTCCAGTTTGCCTGCACGTGCAAGCAAACTGGTAGAGACTACTGACACTTAGCGATCAGCCCCCGTCAGTTAGAACTTGGAACTTGATCGCTAGCTAATTCTGGGCGTAAAGCGCGCGTGTTATGGGTCTGGCATCCAGGCTGGCTTTTGAAGGGTAAAGTAAGGAGATACAAGTCTTTTACATGTAACGTCAACTTACCTCCAAGTGGTTGGTGAGGTTGAGAGCCTCCATGGTGAGAGTATGAGACGTATAGAGTCTGAGTCGGGCGTCACGCACCGGGACATGTTGAAAACTTTTATCTCACGCATCTCTATCAATAGACACAATAAAACTCACCTGCACTTGAGTCTGTTTCTGCCTCTATCCGAAGGAAACATGATGAGTTCCAANCCAAGCTAAGTACGGCCGTGACNCCCCAAAATGGACGGTCTCGCACAGGTACACTCAGCAACTTCCGCTTTT